CTGAAAGCAGTAACTGCTTTGAACTGCTTGGCCATCTCTGGTGCCTTGGCTCATCGTTATAGGACCTCTTGCATTGTGCAAGGTAAGGAACCATGTTGTTGATTTATATTACACACAAGTATCCCATTAGTCAGTGTCAAAGAAAAGTGGGCAAGTTAGAGTTAGTTCTGATCTAGAACTTGGGTATGCAGGGCTATTAATTACAACAGGAATAGTGAAAACTGGGTGTGTCACAAAAAATCTACAGGTAAGACAGTTTACTGCAGCAGAGTAAAAGAAAAGGCTTTGTATAAAATGGTAGGATTACAGGCAGTAATGTGAACAGTATTGATATTTTCACCAAAATATGTCTTATAATACTTTAGGATCAAAAAGATTATGCTGGGCAGTGGTGGCATATGCCTTTAATCCTGGGCAAGGGCAGGCGGATCTCTGCGTTTGACTGGTCTACAGAGTGAGTTCTAGGGCAGCTAGGGCTACACAGAGAAACACTGTCTTGAGAAACACAAGAAGTAGATGGTAATTGTACGAAATCAGGATAGCCAACAGAAAGTTCAGACCCACAACACCCACATTACTATATGCTGTCTACAGGAGCTGATTCAGGGTTAAAGATACAAGTAGGTTGACAATAAGCAGATGAAAAAGTCACATAAACATAAGTTGCAAGTGGCCATGCCAATCAGACAACACAAGCTTAAATCATTACTAGAAATTAAGGGGTTGCTTGTAAATGAGCACACCAGACCACAGAGCTCCAAACTAGTGGACTAAAGCCAACACAATGGGGAAGTCATAGTTGAACGTGACTATGGGCAGCACCACCAGTTACTCAACAGCACAGCAAGATTCCATGTCAAAAACAAAACTGGGCAGAATATAAGGTAGTAGGAAATTGAACAGCACTGTAACCCAACTAGATCTAATAAATGCATGAGACAGTAAATAGAGTGCTTGTCTTTTCAACTGTACATGGAATAGTTTGAATTAATACAAAATTTAGTCTGTAGCTAGTGACATGAAATTAAGTTGGGGAATTGAAGAATAAGTGAAACTTTACACCAAAATAACTAATGGATTAAAAAAAAGGAAAACATCCTCTGAAATGAATGAAAAAGAAAATAAAGGAATGCAGTGAAATTAATGCATTGAGGGAAGTTGCAATACAAAGATATTAAAGAAGAAAAGGATCTAATAACAGGGTGAGGCAAAGCAGAAAGTAGGAAGGAATGAGTAGAGCAGAGAATTACAGAATAAGGAATATAATTACGGAATAAGGAAAATGGAAAATAAACATTTGCGTTTTCTGTGTTTTTGGAAAAATGAGTAAAATTCATGAGTGTCCCAAGTCAGCAGAAGAGAAAAAAGTTAACTAAAATTATACAGATGGAAGTTTCTGTCTCACCCCATCCGACATCCATTCAGTCCCAAATAAACACAAAAAGGCTTAAATTAGTTACAAACTGCTTGGCCTATTGCTCAGGCTTATTATTAACAAGCTCTTACAACTGAAATTAACCCATAGTTATTACCTATGTTTAGTCACGTGACTTGGTACCTTTACTCAGTAAAGCATTCTCATCTTGCTTTCTCTGTATCTTGCCGGTGACTTTGTCTCTGCTTTTCCTCTTCCCAGAACTCTCCTAGTCTGGTAGCCCTGCCTGGCTACTGGCCAATCAGCATTTTATTAAACCAATATGAGCAACAAATCTTTACAGGGAATAAGAGCATTATCCCACATCAAAATTAGATGCTAAATGGACATTACTACCAACCTTACAGAATAGAGAGGATTACTGTGGAATATTGTAGAATGTTGTACATCTAAAAAGGGGGTAGAGACTTAAACTCTGAGTAGATATCTAACAAATAATGGCACTGAGTACCAGAACAGACAAAATGGGCTACAGAGGTGACTTGGTGGTTATGAGCATGGACTGCTCTTGCAGAGGACCCAAACTCAGTTCCCAGCACCCACATCAACTGAGCCACTTGTATCTCTAGCTCTGGGTCATCTGGTACTTCTGGTCTTGAAGAACACCTGCTCTCATATGAGTGTATACACACACACACACACACACACACACACACACACACACACACACTTAAAAGTAAAGGCAGTTGACAGTAGCTAAGAGCATTGGCTGCTCCTGTAGAGGACCTGGGTTCAGTTTCCATCACCAGCTGGCTGTATGCCCAGTTTCAGCAAGAGATCCAACACTTGGTCTCTCAAGTCACCAGGCACACACATGTGGTACAGACAAAACACTTATACACATAAAATGTAAATTTAAAAGAAAAATAGACAATGATACATCAATACCAAGAGTTCTAGTGTTTCAGCTTCTGATAGTTGTCTTTTTGTAATATTAGCAGTCATTGATAACATCCTACAATTAACTGGGCATGGTAGCACACTACTTTAACCCTAGCACTGGGTGGCAGAGGCAGGTGGGTCTCTCAGTTTGAGACCAACCTGGTCTACATAATGAGTTCTAGGCCAGCTAAAGTTACATAGTGAGCCCCCTATCTCAAATCCTATATCTAGCATTTGTTAATAAGTAACATAAAAATAAGAAAAGCTAACCCATTTCGCTTACATTTTGTAAAAACATTTCCCTCATCAAATGATTTCTTGGGTTGGGTTCAGAAAGGCTAGACACATTCTTGATTACTTCTTTTATCCATTTTCAAAATAATAGGTTTTCCTGTATCCTTTTGCACAAGATTATCTGACAGCATGGATTTAAACACACTGGGTGAGGTGTGTGTGTTTCAGCTATTAACATTTATGATCTCTGGCCCATGTATTTTGAGGTAGTTATGATAGTTACTGGTAACTTCCTGACTGATATGAAAAGCTGTTTCCTGCCATCTTTCCATTGTGTGGATTACCTCTATTGTTGCCCTCAGAAACAAAATTAGATTTACTTCTTAAGGTCAAGTTTTAGAGATGGCCTTTAAAAGTATTTGTTTGGCTTCTGTAGTACTCTCATAGTTACAATGACAAATTAGCAGCACAAGTTTTACTTAAGAAAACAAAGCTTTTTAGTTCTTTCTTTCTTCCTGATTGATTTTGGTAGGTTCCTGTTTTAGCCTGTATAGTTTTGGTTTGCTTTAACAGAGACACCTTTCTTAAACAAATAGAACCTGTCTCACGGCGAGTTCTCTGAGACACAGGTTTGGAGAAGATGAAATGGTGTAACCTTTGAAAGATGAAAATTGGAAGCTGGAAAGATAGATGGTTAAGCGTGCTTGCTGTTCTTACAGAGAATCCGAGTATAATCGCCTGTAACTCCAGCTCTAAAGAATCAGATGTCTCCTTCTGTCCTCCTTGAACTGTCACGTTCACAAGTATATACATACTCACATAAACAAACCATTTTTAAGGAAAAAGGAAAAGATGAAATTCAGACGCCAGGTTGCAGATGACACCTGTGTTAATGGGGAGCCATCCTCCAGGACACGTTAACAATTCTGTGGTGGTGTGGAGAAAACTGAGGAACTAATACTGGGCAAAGAGGAAGCTTCGAGGTAATGGAATCACAAAGTCCCCGGAGGATTCCATGGGAGTGTAAAGACCCTGGTCCTGTGAAGACCCTTCTGATTTGTTCCCTCTTGAAGCCAAGAGTCCAGGTCTTTATGACCTACACCAAAGAGCTGGTGACACAGAAGTAAGCAGATCCCACATCAACCAGAATGCAGACTTCCTTTGGATCAGAGTGTGACCTTGCAGTTCTTTGAGGGCAGTTCTCAGAAAGCAATTAAGCCAGGTGCTGTCAGTGCCAACACTCTCAAGAGCTAGGGAAAGGACCTCTTGAAGGGGAAGCTGGGTGACATGCTGCAGCATCCAATGCAGTTCCCCCTTTTGCACTCTCCACATTTCTCAAATAACAGATTTGGGGACCAGCCCCTTCACGGTAATCTGGTCTCATTTCTCTAGGAATCTGCAGAAGCTGTTCTTGGGCTTTGGTCCTAAAGTCTAGTCTCAGCATTTCTCATTGTCCCAGGGAAGAATCCACAAGTTAAGGAGGGTAGCAGATTTGGCTCAGAATGACTCTTTTATTTGGTACAAGCCTGCCCACTCCCAATTCTAGTGAGCTTCTGTGTACAGCGTTTCCATGTATCTCAGGGCATGGTTATCAGAAAATCTACAGAGTCTGGACACGTTATTGCTACCCAGGGATATGTCAGGGTGTCTTCATCCCCTTCACCAGAGATGAAAAACAACTCATTACCGTTGGTGACTACTCAGACCACTGTCTTCCACAAAGATCCATACCCCTTGATGATCGTAGGGACAATGTATTGAAACTGAGATTCAAACCTCACCTGAGTCCATGTGCCCTTTCCCTCTACTCTCCTTTGTGAGCTCATCACCTCCCAGAATTGAAAAGTTTAAATCCCCCGTTATTCGTATCATAATAATGGGAAAATTCAAGCCCTATGTTTCAGTATAAAAAAAAATCCAAGTAGTTTCAGTTTGTAGGTGGTCAAATGAGTGAACCCCTTCCAAGGAAGCATAATGCAGTTATTAATGAAGTTCACTGGGGCATTTCCCTTGATGTGAGTATCAGTGTCCGAGTTCTATGGGACCTTTCCATGAATATTAGGGTCAGACCATCATGGTCTCTTTGGTAGAACAGAGAATAGAGGGAATCAAAGACATTAGAATATCTGTATCTGAGCAAAGACACCAGAAACCACCCACAGAAGGCAAAAACATTCTCTCTCTCTCTCTGTCTCTCTCTGTGTGTGTCTCTCTCTCTCTGTCTCTCTCTGTGTCTCTCTCTCTTTCTCCTTCTCTCCCTCTCTCTCTCTGTCTTTGGGTCTCTGTCTCTGTCTCTCTGTCTCTCTGTCTCTCTGTCTCTCTGTCTCTCTGTCTCTCTCTCTCTCTCTGTGTCTGTCTGTCTGTCTCTCTCTCTGTCTCCGGCACAGACACGATACCTTTGGCTTCCTATAAGGATTGACTTATAGGAAGAAGACATCAACTGCAAAGCTGCTGTCACCATGTTTATTAAGGTAACGGTTAGTTGCAAGCACTAGGGTTTCCGTGTCTCCTTGAAGAGTCCATCTTGTCAGGCAGAGTCATTGCAGGCTCACCTCACCCGAATGCTGTCAGGGCCCCCTGAGAAAGAGAAGCCAAGCTTCAGAGTGCCTTTACTGCTACCAGGGACTTCTGAGGAGAGGATCTGGGTACCCGAGGTTACTCAAGACAGAGGGGCATGGCTGCTGGTTCCTGGGAGCGTTCCTGTGAAGCCCATAGGGAAGGGGCCCTAGGACAAGGGTCATGGCCTGCTGGTAGCCATGTGTGAAAGGTCTGCCCTGATGAACTCCTTGGACTCTTGACAGGTTGGTTAGGATATGGCTTGCTGGAGCAGATCGGGAAGCAAGGGTTCTCTGATGCAGCCTGGGCTGCCTTCTATATGATTATGAATGCGACTGGGAGGTGTACCCACACAGGGAGGGAGAGCCATGCAGGATGCCCATATTACCAGCAGTGTCTTCACAGCCCCTACAGCCTCAGGGCCCAGCTCAGTGACACATTTCCTGGAACCTTCTATGAGGGCATCCAGTGGAACTCCCAGGCTGGTCAGGATGAACCTCAGGATGCTTAAGTGGCTTAATGGTAGACTGGGTACAGCCCTGGCCACAGCCTCTGCAGCTGGGGCAAGGTCAGCCACGGGTTCCACCACAGATTTGCCCACTGAGTTCATGAAGAAAGCAATACCTGCAAACACAAACACAGGGCCTTCTCAAGGAGCCTGAAGACCCAACTCCTCCAGGGAGAGTACCCAAGGGAGACTTCACAGCCACCCACCTACTTCCTGATTGGTGACTGCCCTGTGTCAAAGGGGACACCAACAGAAATGAGGAGAGGTGGCCTTGTAGTGGGCTCAGGGGGAGATGGCTGCAGAGACAGCCATAGAGGATGGGTAGGGTTTCAGAGTTGGGGGGCCTTAATGAATGAGGGGACACTAATCAGGCTTAGAACAGATGGGGTGGGCATTCTCAAGCCAGGGCTGGCCTTTGACTCAGTCACCAGGCTGGTGGGTGAAGAGAAGAAGCTAAAGGTGAGTAGGCATGTGAGAGGCAGTTGGAAGGCTCGGGTAGCTTTGAAGGCCACAGGAAAGAGAGAGGAAACCCCTGGAGGAGTGTCTGGCTTCCTCTGGAGGCATTTCTGCTAGAAAAGCTACCATCAGCAGCCTACTGCACAAGAGTGAGAGGCTATAGGGCCAAATGCCACTGGAGCAGGGCCCAGGAAAGAGTAGGTACCGATGGCAGGTCCCTCCATAGGAGATGCCTAGCCCCAAGGGAACTCACCAGAGTCACTGAGCAGAGCCACACAGAACACTAGGAAGGTGGCGGTAAGCTTCATGGTGGAATGACACCCAGAAGATGCTCCTAAGACACTCTTCTTGGAGCCTGCTCCTGAAGGTCTCATATATCCAGTGGTGGAACCTCACCCTCCTGAGAAATGTCTTGTTTGCTCAACTAATAGGCAGAGCTTCAGCCAACTTCCTGGGAGGACCGCACAGCCCACCTCAGTCCTGGGGATTTCCTCTTGGCAGGGTCTCCTGGACTCAAGTGCTGGGCCTTTCTTCCTGAGAGCGGGAACTGGGGATGTGCTTTGTCTCCAGAGGACCCACCCAGGCCTACACCTAGATATTGTGGTCTGACCCCACCTCAATGTCACCACAGTTCAGGTCTGGGGCCCATGCTTGGTGGGAACAGGCTCCCCACGGGTGTGAAAGGGCTGAACCATTATACAGGCTCTGGGGCTGGAAGCCTAAAGAGCACAGCAGGTCCCCAGGACCCCAGAGCTCTCAATGAGCTCTGGGTCCCTGGTCCCAGACTACGGAAATGTCACAGTGGCAGTCTTCCCAGCTCCTGCTGGTCTGGAAGCCTCAGTGTGTTTGAGCCAGAAGGCAAAGTGTAGTAGCCTGACTGGGTGACCAGTCCTTACTCTTGATTATCTCCTTAGTTGGGCCATGGGTTAGCTGATGATGCAAAAAAAGGGGGGAGGGGGGGCTGGGGCATTTCCCTGTCTTTGAAATCACTCTCAAAGGCAGCAGATGAGTGTGTTTAGAGCTTCTCTAAAAAGCCCTCTCTTCTCTGCTGCCTGTGGAAGTGTAGCAGACAACTACACATTGATACCCTCCAGCAGACTCATTAATGGGGAGCTCTGACTTCCAGGATTTTCGATGAGGCATGCTTTGGTCTTCATAGCTGGAGAGAAAGGGTCTCCCACTGCCCCTGACCTGAGGTGAAGATCCACAGTGGGCAAATCCCACCTGTTTTCAGTCCATGCCTCCTTAACACTGGCCCTGCTGCATTCCTTACACCTTTCCTTGCTGTTTAATCTGGGAGGCCTTTATTAGTCGCCGTAGACTTAATTTCAGTGGGAAATGAGTCTTGACCTAGTGAGGCTGCACCTCCTTTTGATTGGTTTCCTGGGAGGAACGCTTGTGAGACAGTGACAAGACCATCTGTGTTACTGTGATGGTGAGCCCCACTGCCACCCCCAGAATACCCTGAACCTCTTCCTTGGAGGGCACAGTTGGGAAATGGACATTGCTCTGACCAGCCACCTTTCTGAAAGGCCAAGCCCAACTGGCTTGACAGCAGTGTCTACCTTAGCCGTGGCTTCACTTGCTGTGGTAACTGCAGCCTGAGAACATTAAACAGAGAATTCCACAAGCAACAATTCTCAACTCTTTTAGGATTTTTGTCAGATGAACCTGCCTTGTTTTTCTTCTTTTTTATCTTTAAATTTATAATTGTCAATACAGATTATCATATTGGTTTCACTGTGGCATTTCCACATAGCATGTATGATGATGCCTTGAGCACAACTCACTCTTCCAATGCCTTCTTGCCCGTCCTCCTCCACCCAGTCCCCTTGCCCTACCCTAGTATTGCCTCTTCTGCTTTCAGCTGTGTGTGTTGTAATTCTGCTTCCCTGTATGAGAGAAAACATGCAATATTCATGAAAAAGCATATCATCTAGTCTATGTGTCTGTATATTTTTGTTATGTCTCTTGCTGTTGGTTTCTGATTTTATTCTATTATGATCCGACCAGATGCAAGAGATTGTTTAAATTATTTTGTATTTGTTACTTGCTTTAGAGTGTAAAATATCTATTTTGGAAAAAGTTTCAGGAGCTGAAAAAATGCAACATGTATGTTCCTGCTGCTGGATGGACTATTCTGTAATGTCTGTTAGATCCAGTTAATCTAATGCGGTGAATCTAAACCTCTGGGTTGTGACCTCTTTGAGGGTTGAATGACCCTTCACGGAGGTCGCATACAAGATATCCTGCATGTCAGATAGTCACATTGCAATTCATAACAGTAGCAAAATTACAGTTATGATGTAGCACTGAAATAATTTTATGGTTGGGGGTCACCATAACATGAAGAACTGTACTAAAGGGTCACAGCATTAGGAAGGTTGAGAACCACAACTTTCATATACTGTATTGTCCTCCTTAATTCACTAGACTGATAATAATAATTTGTTTTTTAAATTCATGGATCTCTTGAAAATATTCTTTGTCCAGCATCTCATCCACTTTAGTATCTTTGAATTCTTGGTTACTGAAAAGCTATGAATTTTTGGAAGAGTCATGTTAGCCCCCACACCATGTTTCTTGTGTTTCTTTGCTGAGATTTGTGCTTATGTCAGGGTCGATAATGTCTACATTTTGGTGGAGGTCTCAGTGACTAGCTTCTCTGTAGAACTGTAGAGGGGGAAAGGCCGGGTGTGCAGTAGCACTGAACAATGACACATACGGATAAAGATGACATATGTATAAGCTACCCTGGATGCTAATCTAAACATTAACTTAAAAAACTACCATAGATCTAATCCATATCACATAGGTATCTGTGTATGCCCTTACATGACTTTTGAAGGTGTGATTCCAGTCATGGCCCCCACCTGTCTCTAGAGCCCGTCGTTATCTTACAAAGCTGAAACCCTTGCCTCCTCTGCCTCTCCTCTTCATGGTCCTCGGAAGTCACCCTCCTGTCCTTGTCCCTAGGTAGCTCTAGATCCTGCTATAATATCATGGATCAAGACTTCAGGTAAGCAGGGGCTGCTGTAACTAGAAGTGGGGTTGTCGGATCATCCAGTTTGCCATTTTTGAGTAATCACCATTCTTTCCCATAATAGCTGTGCCATTTTGCATTTCCATAATTGGTACACTCTGCATTCTCTTCCGGCAGGGTTCCAGTGGCCCAAGTGATTGGATTGGCATCTAGGAGCTGAATTTGGCTCTACTTTTCACCATACTGGCTTAGGACCAAGTTCAGACAAAGCCCTGAACGACCTAAGAGGCCGAGAGGAGGTGTAGGCCTGCCATCCATGAGGCTCCAATGGCTCGTGGACTCCTGGTGTCAGTCCAGTGGCCTCCATGCACACCCTTCCTGGCATTCTTTGCCTTTAAATCAACCTTCCAGCAGGATGTGGTGTTGCATGCTTGGGCTTCATAATAGTACCCCATGTAAAACAAAACAGAAAAGAACAGAACAAAACAGAACAAGCCTTCCTGGGGCTGAACAGTAGCTTGCTGGCAGAATAGTTGCCTCACAAGAGGAAGGCCAATGCTGAAAAATGACAAAAACAAAATAAAACGAAGCAAAACCATCAGTCTCCCCCCCCAACTCCTTCCACCTTCTTGATTCAATAAATTGAGTGATCTCTTGTTTTTTTTCTTTCTTCCTTTTTTAAAATTTAAGTTAGAAACAAGTTTATTTCACATGCCAGTCCCAGCTTCCTCTCCTGCCCTCCCCACCAGGCCCCCCCAGTCCTCTACCCAATCTCCACTCTGATCCCCAGGGAGGATGAGGCTCTCCATGGAGGATCTCCAGAGTCTGTTGTTTCATCCAGGGCAGGACCTAGGCCCTCCCCCAAGGGTCCAGGCTGAGAGAGCATCCCTCATTGTGGGATGGGCAGCCAAAGTCCATTTGTATGCCAGGGATAAATACTGATCTACTACTCAAAGCCCCATAGATTACCTAGGCCTCCTCACTGACACCCACATTCAGGGGGTCTGGATCAGTCCCATGCTGTCCACCCAGCCATCAGTCTGGGGTCCAAGAGCTCCCCCTTGTTCAGGTTAACTGTTTCTGTGGGTTAAACCAGCCCAGTCTTAACCCCTTTGCTCATCAGTTTTCCCTTTCTGTCACTGGATCCCAGAAATTCAGTTCAGTGTTTAGCTGTGAGTGTCTGCCTCTGCTTCCATCAGTCACTGGATGAAGGTTCTGTTTCCCAGAGTCTCTGGCAGTGGGATTATATGCTGGCACTCCCCTAATTCATGTCTAAAATCCATATATGAGTGAGTACATACCATATTACCTTTCTCCACATCCTCTCCAGCATAAATTGTCATTGGTGTTTTTTAATTTTAACCATTCTGACAGGAGTAAGATGGTATCTCAGAGTTGTTTTGACTTGCATTTCCCTGATGGCTAGTGATATTGAGCACTTTCTGAAGTGTCTCTCAGCCATTTTAGACTCCTCTACTGAGAATTCTCTAGTTCTGTAGCCCACTTTTTAATTGGATCCTTTGGTGTTTTGGAGACTTGCTTTGAATTCTTTGTAAATTTTGGAGATCACCCTCTCAGATGTGGGGTTAGTGAATATTTTTTCCCATTCTGTGGGCTGCCTTTTTGTCTTGCTGACTGTGTCCTTTGCCTTACAGACGCTTCTCAGTTTCAGGAGGTCCCATTTATTAATTGTTGATCTCAGTGTCTGTGCTACTGGAGTTATGTTCAGGAAGCTGTCTCCTGTACCAATTCATTCAAGGGTGCCTCCCACTTTCTCTTCTAAGAGGTTCAGTGTGGCTGGATTTATGCTGAGGTCTTTGATCCATTTAGACTTAAGTTTTGTGCATGGCGATAGATAGGACTTTCTATGAGCCTGCAGTGTGACCACAGGCCTTCACATGACTGCCAAACTTCATTCTCACAGTATGTCCGTCATTATAACCTCCTCCCACACACTTTCTCCACTTGCAATCATCCGAGCCAGGACTTATCCCAGTCAGGCCCAATCCTTCACCTAACACTGGCTTTTAGAACTGTCCTTGTGACCATCCTCAGGACTAGCCCATGGGGATAGTTGAGATCTGCCTGCATCATGGGGCCAGATGAAGTGCCTCTGAATTATCTGGAGGCTGCTGTCAACATGTCCCTGGTGGCTGAAGGCAGGACACAGTTATTTGCTCACTCTTCTGGAGGCCAGAAGTCCAGTATCACTGGGGTGCAAGCCAAGTATTATTAGGACTGCATTCTCTCAGTGGCTCTATGGGAAGGTCCATTCCTGGCTTCTCCTAGCTCCTGGCATTCCTTGGCTCTGGCTGCATCCTTCTAATGCCTGTCTCTGCCATCAGATTGTGTGTGTGTGTGTGTGTGTGTGTGTGTGTGTGTGTGTGTGTGTGTGTGTGTGTGAACTCTTTGCCACTCCATTATGAC